CCTTGGTCTTCTTGTTGCTTTGACTTGGGTGATTTGGGTGTTGGTGTGGCTTTCCAAGCAGCCTCATCTCTAAGCAGTTTATAGTAAAAATAATGAAAAGGGCATGGGAGTAAAATCAAATACAAAAATCCATTAAAAAATATTGGAAAGAGAAAAAGGAAAACCAAGCTATTCCTCTGTCACATTCACGCGGGGAAGGTTTACAGGAAGAAGTAGGTGTTTAACAGGCATCTGAAGACCAACCAACTGGTTTCTCACAAGGGAACCAAATTCCAAATAGCACAGGGGCACAAGTAACTCTGAGATGGCCCCTATTGACTATGGCATTGCTGCAGAACTCACTCTGTTGAGGTTAATAATAACTGCCCAGGTCAGGTATCCTGATGTCAGTATCCACAAAGCAGCCAGTAGTGTTGGTTCAACACAGGTGTAACAATGGAGGGTCCTTGGTGNGGAAAGGCAGAGCAGTATTTGTCTCCAGCTCTTTAAAGTAACCAGACTTTTCATGTGTTCCCACAGTTGCTCTCTGCACCCACCAGGTAAGCTTTAAAGAGTTACAGTCACATGACATACCCGCATACCTTAATGGGGGGGTGTTGGAATTAAATTTGGAAAGTAAATACGGGTAGACCTCGACCTACAACCGCAATTGAGCCCAACATTTCTGTAGTTCGGTGAGACATTTGTTAAGTGAGTTTTGCCCAATCTCATGACCTTTCCTGCCATGGGTGTTAAGTGAGGCATTGCAGTCGTTAAGTGAGTCTGGTTCCCCCATTGACTTTGCTTGTCAAAAGGTTGCAAAAAGTGATCACTTTTTGGGGCACAGCAATGGTCATAAGTATGAACCACGTGATCCTGGGGATGCTGCAAAGGTTGTAACTGTGAACAACGGTCATGAGTCACTTTTTCAGTGCTGTTGTAACTTTAAATGGTCACTAAATGAACTGCTGTAAGTCGAGGACTACCTGTAGTAGGAGTGAATAAAAACCATGCCTTGAAATCTACTCCTGTGAACCTTGGTTCCTCCTTCAGTGTGGACAACGTACATCATAATGCTAGAAACAACGGATGGGAACTAATCAAGGAGAGAAGAAACTTGGAATTAAAGAGAAACTTCCTAACAGAGGGGACAAATTACCCGTGGAACAGCCGGCCTCCAGGAATCATGGGTGCTCCATCACTGGAGGTTTTTCAGAAGAGACCGGACAGTCACTTGTCTGTAATGGTATAGGGTCTCCTGCTGGAGCAGGGGGGGGGGGGGTTGGACTAGAAGACCTCCAAGGTCCCTTCCAGCTCTATTCTGATTCTGGTGTAACTGCCTCAGCCAAGAACTATCATCTTATGACTTCTTCGCAGCAGATCTATCAGTCAATTTACGGGGAAGGTGGATGGTAAACAAATGTTAAATCTTCCCCATTATGTCCTTTGATTATCTTCTTAATCAAAGAAGGCTGTTCCTCACAAACAGAGGCAGGGAAATTGTCATTTCTTGTACTTTTGGACCACAATTTCTCTGCTGTCACTGGCTGCTGGTAGCAAGCATTGTAGCCCCAGATACTCGATCCATCCCAAAGTTTGACCACTTCTGCGATAAAGCAAAACCAGCATTACATGAAACTCATTTTTCCAAGCCCTTCAGGAAAAGAATAGNTCTGTTTATATCAAGTGGCTTCCCTCTCAGTGTTGGTGGGGATGGTCTTGGAGGTTCTTCAGTTGGGCTGTTTACTTTTAGCTTGTTTGGCAGTTCCTTGATTGAGGCATTGTTTACTTCTTGATTTCTGCTTATCTGGATGCTGATGGGCAGGTGTTTTGATCTTTCCCCTCCCTTTTTGGATGTTGGTTGTCTCTTTTAAAAGGTATGTAGATGTTGTTTATATCTATGTTCCTGTTGATGGCTTATTTGTCTGGGTGCCAGGCTTTTAGGAATTCCCTAGCATTTTTGGACATGGCTTGGTTGAGATCATCACAATTTCCCAGTTGAAACTATGGTTAAGTTTCATAGGTTGTGAAATTAAGGAGGTTTTCATGTCTTCTGACTGCTAGTTTTCCTTTGTTGGCCCAAGTATAACAAATGGCCAGATGGCCCACTCAGTCTGGTTCCCTAACTTTCCATTGCCTGCATTTTCCACTCCGAGAGCAACAATAATAGCCTGACACGGAATGCACTCCAATCATTTAACTGTGAGGTTACTAAGATGAGATCAAACATTTAGATTTTCCCTGTCCAGGAAAGTACAAGATTGTTATTTATGTATTCATTCAATGTATGTGGTTGCCCAAATGACTCTGGGCAGCTAGCAAGGATTTTAAAAAATCATAAGAAGAGCAATGAAATAATAATAAAAGACACTGCATTATCAGCAATATACAACCTCAGGTATTTGCCACAGTCTTATTACCTGGGTCAATTCCTGCAGGAAGAATCAGGAACTTTTCAGGACTTTCGTAAGGGCCAGTGGGGTTTTACCAATCAGAGTTAATGAAATATACTCTGAGACCCAGAGGTTGCCTGGGAAGAACCTAAAGCTTTCCACGGCCTCTTTCTGGGATTGCTCTCCCACTACAAAGTCTTTGCCCACCTGGCTATACCTTTCTTTCAGAACACGAAGCAGCAAACCTGTCGATTCTGAAGCCAACAAGACAACCGGCCTTACTACAGATCCAGGCTGCACCTCTTCTAAACTTGACGTGGGGGATTCTGATATGGAACTGGAGGCAAAGCCCTCCGGCGTTTGAGAATGCTGGCAGCAATGGATGGAGAACCCCAGGAACCAAGCAAGGGACTCCTTGCAGAAGAGGGTCCTTCATAGGAATTGGCTTTGCAGGAAATCTCAGCAATTCCGTTTCAGTTCTGGGTGGGGAATGAAGGATGCTTGAATATTTCAGGCCCTTTCAAGGGATGATCACACACAGACTTATCTTTATTATGGTTACAGACCAGAAAGTCGGAGGACTGTCAACAACTTCCTTTGAAACTGTTTGGTGTGATTACTGCATGTTGTGCAATGGCAACAGCAATCAATTTCCCCTTGGAACTTGGCTGCTTATTTGCTGGCTAAAGTTCTGACTCCCAAAATGATTCAGACACGGCTACCGCCTAACCCTTCCCAGATGAAAAATTAAAGCCCTGTTAGGTGAAGAAAATTGACTCAATTCACAGCGTCTCAGGCAGGAGCAATCATACAGAGATTTCCTGACTTGAGACAAACCTGCTTAATTTCTTCTAGACTCAAGTAAAAGGCTCACAATTTCTGGGGTGGCCTCTTAGGGAATCTCCCCGCTTCCAGTTGAATTGTGCCAGGATTGCAGAGGTTTCACTCTGAATTGCTGTGTTTCAGAACTGGATAAACACAGTCCTTGACTGCAAATGTGTGATGATGGGAGCCACATTCAAAGACGGCAGAGAGCGGAGAGGAAAACCTACAGGCACAAAACTAGCTGGAAGAGCAAGGCCCAGCTAGAAATGTATTCTCTGAACTTTTTTATTTTCAAAGAGGTTGGTAAATCGGGCAAAGGAAGCCTCAGACTTCTGTGACTCTCAGTTGGCCTGGCCGATGGCAATGGCTCTTCATGAGAGCACATAGACTTATATACCACCTCATAGCGCTTCACAACCCTCTCTAAGTGGTTTACAGAGTCAACATATGGCCCACTATAGTCTGGGTCCTCATTTTACTCATCTCAGAAGCTGAATCAACCTTGAGCCGGTCAGGATCGAACTCCTGACAGTGGAATGCAGAATTAGCCTGCAATACTGCATTTCAACCACTGCGCCAACATTGCTCTCACCAGGACAGAAGATAATTAAAGGAAGAAGACAACCTTTTCCCCACAGGCTGAATTGGCTTAGTTACTTTAAGATTCTGGCCAAAGCATGTATTTGCCAACTGGATTAAATCGGTTCCTTTGCAATGCATTACTTTTGAGGAGTTCTCTCCTCCATTCCTGTGGGCAGTAAATTGGCATAACAGGATCCACGTGAGCAAATGCACGGAACAAGATTTTACAGTGAGAAGCCTGCTGAAGTCTAAGAAGTTTAATTTTTTCTCAAGTTGGCACCAAACCGCAAAAGGAGAGACAAGCAGGCTTTATGTTATAATTATCTGGCAGTAATTCCTTAATGTATCGCTGCAACTCTGACAGGACCAAGTGGTTCTGCTCTCTTTGTCAAAGGGCTAAATTAAATACGGTGGTGGCTTCAGGAAAGGGGATCTGCAAGTACAGTTAGTCCTCAACTTACAACTCTTCATTTAGTGACCGTTCGAAGTTAAAGCGGCACTAAAAAAATGACTTACAACTGCACTTGTGACTCCTGCAGCAACTCCATGGTCACATGATCAAAATTCAGGAGCCTGGCAATCGGTGTGTATTTACAATGGTTGCAGGATCCTGGGAAATCCTGTGATCACCATTTACAGCTTTCCCAGCCAACTTCTGACAAGAAAAATCCATGGGGGAAGCCATATTCATTTAACGACTGTGTAATTCATGTAACATCTGTAGTGATTTGCTTAACAGCCATGGCACAAAAAGGTTGTAAAATTGGGCACAATTCATTTGACAACTTAGCAGCAGAAATTTGGGTCCTAACCGTGGCCATAAGTTCATAAGAGGAGACTCCCTGTGGCCTGATCCTCAGTGTGAAGATTCCTATAATCCAAGTGATATTTTTATATTATAACCACCATTTGGAACAGTTTCCTACAGCTTCTGTGTAGTATTCATCCTGGACATAAATTCTTTCAAGTCCTACCCTCAAAACAACGCTATAGAGCACTGCACACCAAGACAACTAGACACAAGAAATTCTTTTTCCCCTGAACGCCATCACTCTGCTAAACAAATAATTCCCTCACCACTGTCAAACTATTCACTAAGGCTGCATTACTATTACTATTANGCTGAAAATCACCAAATCTATTGAGTCCAGTTATCTAAATGGCTCACCTTGTCTGTTCTGTAAAAGCAAGTGTAATCCAATAGTGCAGGTACAGTAAAGCTTACCTATCGCCATCTCTCAACGCTTTCATTTGCTTTCCAATGATACATGCAAACAAGGGGCCGGTTCTGACATCAGGGTGAATAGTTTCTACGATTCCCCCCAGCCAGACATCGATATTGTCGGGGCTTCTGTAGAGTTCCATAATTCTTTGGACAACGGTTTTATTCTCTATTGCTGTCATCAACTCCTGTTCAGTCCTCAGCCTTGGCAAGTCACAGAATTCTCGCCAATCATTATAACCTGCAGATATTGCATAGACAGTAAGATTCAAATACATGTCTTTTTCTAGCTATACAAAAGTACTGTAACCATGTGGACCATCAGTTCTAAAAGACACGAACCCCTGCCTCCATGAAATCACAATTTTTGTACCAAAAGCTTTCTGTCGAGTGAGAATCCTTGGGACTATACGGATGTGCAGTTTTCATGGCAATGCAATACAAGTGATGTGGCAGCAGTACCAACATTCAATTTTCCTGTCAAGCCTACATACTGATATATCCTCATGGCTCCCAATCCATGTGTAAACTGAGCTTAGAGCAACAGTGGACTTTTTCTAGTATTAAAAAACAAATACTAGACAAAGACATTGGCATAAAGAATGTATTTGCTATATTGGAATCCCATCTGCTTGTTCAAAAAATCACATTGGCTGTGTGGCCCACCTATCCAATGTCATTTTAGGGCCAAGCATTGAGTTTGGATTGAAACTGGCCCAAGAATCAGAGAGAAAAAAGCTTTGAGGGGGGATTTGAGTGACAGGAGGCCTTGCCAGTTCAAATCCGCAACCCTCTGCAAATGACCCTGTGGGACAGGAAATATTTTGCCTCGTCTTCATCTTACATTGCGCCAATGCAACCTTCAGCCTCCCTCGGATCCACCAGCATCGTCCGTAGAGGCATTTTTTCTGCAAAACATGTTTGTGGAAATGCTGACGGCTGTAACTGGATTTGTTAATAAGTCCTGCTTGGTCCTGCTTATCATGACGGCAAACCAATCTTTAATTTGATTTAGGGCTTTTCAGGAGTTTGCGGCTGAAAGGTGTCAAGCTCACTATTAACAGCTAATCTTCAGGGTCAGAGTATTACAGTAGCTCTATTCTATTAATTAAAGCAGAGGAACTGGGATTGAGGTGAATTATATAAAACATTGGAAAGGGGATTGGAAATTGATGGTGACGGATTGAAAAACGAGAGCCCTGAAACCGTGAATGGATCAGGCTTCGCCTGATATCAAAAGGTTTCGTTAAGTAGGGAAATGAATGCTATATAAAAGAGAGAACCTTACCCAGAGCAGATTAGGCAATCTCTATAGATTTTAGGACATAGCATGTTTTTTGGACTATAAGACGGACAAAGATTTTGAAAAGATAATTTTTTTTGGAAAAAGGGGTTTTATCTTCCCCTCCCCCCCCCCCCAGGAGCCTCTGCAGGCCTCCCACACCCTCTGCACAGCATGTGGCTGTTGTTGTTGTTTTTTGGGGGGGTTGCAAAAAATGGGGCCTGCAGAGGGTGTGGGAGGCCTGCAGAGGC